TTCTGGTTTGCAGCATGTTTTTGTACCTGATTCGTCACCACTCTCCAATAGGTATTTAGCCTGAGGACGAGAGCAGTTATTTCATATTTCACCAGACAGCTACAAGAGAAAAAACAGCATTCATTATGCTTATATTTGGCGCTATTACATGAGGCATTTTTGATGGATCACTTAAACCCCTGCTGTCATAGTTCAATTCCTGGGAGCTGATTAAATGGGGATGCGTTGGCCAGGATGTTCCTACCGGGGATTAGGGGCTCTGAGCGAGTGTTATTTAATTGTGGGAAGTGGAAACACTCGAGTGAGGAAGGGTTAGTGAGGCGGGAAGGAGGACCGTTCCTGACAAATGAACAGCGCGCCGCGGGGCGCTTGCAGCCCGGCCCTGTGTGGACACGCTAATAAAGCAAATTACACTGAGACAATGTTTGCACACTGCGTTGACATGTCTGTCCCTCACCTGCTGTGCCGCTACAAGGGGGCATCTTATGCTTTTTGTGCCCACACACTAAAAGTTATATAATTATATTGTATTTGAATAGGTCTACAAGTTACCGTACTATACAAATTTCGGTTGTTTTTGTTTTTTAACTTTAGTCATTCTTTCTTTTCATTCTAACAATCAAATTTTGGCGAACATTTATGCAGTGTAGGCCTACGCTCTTCATATTTTACTGTCCGATGTGGCAATATAATCTAGAGAAGCGCACACTCATGTATTACAATGTCGAATTAGCTTCTTAATGCACCTCATTTAATGATGCAATCTGTCTTCTGATTACCGTTCATGTGTAATTTAGAATTCATAACGTGGCCTTCAGCGACAAAGCCCTCTAATCAATCTCTGATGGATTTGTTCTTTGTTTCGTTTAGCTTATCGGATGACCCCTCCCTCAGTACGCTGGAGGCCCTGAAAACACGGATCAGAGATCTAGAGAAGCAGTTCACACGGGGGGACAGATTCAAGTGTCTCATCTGCATGGTAAGTTTGAGCTTGCTGTTTACATATTTATTTAAAAAAGGAATAAAAACATAGTAATAACTAATTGCAGATAAATGTTAATTATATTTATACTTATAACTAATTATTTAAACCCTAACAGTTCATAAGTTGGTGGTTGTTAAAGGAGTAGTTCACTTTTAAAAAAAACTTTTGCTGATCATTTACTCACCCCCATGTCATCCAAGATGTCCATGTCTTTCTTTCTTCAATTGAAAGAAATTAAGGTTTTTGATGAAAACATTCCAGGATTTTTCTCCATATAATGGACTTCAATGGGAACCAAACGGTTCAATGTCCAAATGAGAGTTTCAGTGCAGCTTTAAACGACACCAGACAATGAATAAGGGTCTTATCTAGCGAAACAAATCGCTCATTTAAAAAACAAGTTTTATAAGCACAAATGCTCGCCTTGCTCCGTTATGTGATGCGTGTTCGTGAATCTCCTCTTCGAACTCGTTCATCAAAATGAACAATTTTATTTTGAGTCTTGACTCGAAGGGTCCTAGATAAGACCCTTATTCGTCACCTGGTGTCGTTTAAAGCCCTTTGAAGCTGCACTGAAACTCTCATTTGGACCTTGAACCATTTGGTTCCCATTGAAGTCCATTATATGGAGAAAATCCTGGAATGTTTTCATCAAAAACCTTTATTTCTTTTCGACTGAAGAAAGAAAAACGTGGACATCTCGGATGACATGGGGTGAGTAAATGATCAGCAAAAGATCAATGTATAATTAAATGTATATAATAACATATCATATAATAACATATTGAGATTAAGCTGATGTAAGTTACATTTCTCTTATTTATGTACATTTATTGTGTAAATATATATTTTTCTCTATTTTGTTCAGGACTCCTACACTGTACCTCTGACCTCCATCCAGTGCTGGCATGTCCACTGTGAGGAATGCTGGCTTCGCACCCTGGTGAGATACACAACAGTATCATACTGTACTTACAAAAGATACACATACTGTACAAAAGATTTTCAGCACAACCACATGACTTGAACAAGCGAAACCTGTGTGTCAGTGTCAGTTGTTTTTGATTGTTAAATGATCTTCTTTGGACCCTCTTTCTCACAGGGAGCAAAGAAACTTTGTCCACAGTGCAACACTATCACCTCACCCGGGGACCTGAGACGAGTGTATTTATGAAGAGTTATAGCTGTCCTGTCATCTGCCTGTTTGCACTCTACTCAAACGGATCACTTTTACCGAGAAGAACCTTTCTGGGCCCATGCAAATCTTAAGAGTATGTCTCGCCCAAAAGAATCATTACAAAAGTTCCTGTCGGAATGCAGCCTGTGTTCAATTCTCGATGAAGTGTAAATCTCTACAAATATTGTGCTGCAACAATATTGTAAGGACAGTAAAACTGATCACAAAAAGTTGTTTTATGTACAAAACCTTGTTTTATAAAATATTGTTAAGTTATTCTCATAGAGCGATCTGTCCTATAGTTTTGTGAATGTTTACACTGAAGAACTCTTTTCTAATTTGGATCTAGCAGTGTTGATATATTCAAAATGGTAAACCGTTAACATTTGCATCATTCATAAACTGTGTTTTGTGTAGAATGTGCAAAGGAGCAATGAATCTTGTACATTTATTATCCATAGTTATGTAACTGTAATTTAATAGTGAACGGGATCATTTAAATATGGTTTAAGATAAATTATCATTTTTGCTGATACACGTGATATAGTATAATAGTTTATTTCATGCATTTAAAAAAACATTATTGTGCAAAATCTCAAAGACAAGACACTGAACATGATGCAAAATTATAAAGCCATGGATAAATAAAAATAATTTTTACTACAAGGTTCGGCAACAGATATTCTGTGTTAAGTTAGTTCCCTGTATATTTTCAAAATTCTTCAACTTTTATCTAAGACGCTGTGTAGATGTAATTGTCTACATTCTTGTAATGAACTACACTGATATTTGTATTGATAATATATATTGTACTGTATGTACAGCAGAGTTGCATCAAGGAGCTTCCCTGTGTTTAATTGATTCCTAATGCAGTATATGGATGTTGAGGTTGATCTCTGCTTATCCTTCACTCCTCCCAATCCCAAATGCAAAGCAGAATAAAAGTCTCCTGACACGGAGTCACTATAGGCTATGACATTAGGACTTAAGGAATTCAGAACTAACAGAAAAAGAGTTTCCTTTGTGGTATTTTAGCAATAGTTTTGTTACTAGACTCTAGTCAAGATACAACAGGTAACTGAAAGATTGTAAAGCACTTTTTTGATAGAACTGAAATAGAATGAAACGCAAAACCAGCTTTGTTTTACGATTATGTATTTTGTACAGACTCATCTGTTTTTCTTTGACAAAAAAAGAACACAATAAACTAAAGTTATTGTCTAACAAATGTCATTGCTGTGCCCTATTATGGTTTTCAGACTGGATCACATGAGTCAGCACTATCACTAGACCTAATAACAGGATTTGGCTGATGCTTATTTTGGCAGCTTTTTATTCAAAGCTATAGGCTACTCACATTGCATTATGCATTTTAATATCAACGCCATTGTGGCATTGCCTGCACTGTTAGAGGAACTATAGCAGGTGGGTAACCTCAGCATTTCCTCTTGCCTGCCCTTCAGTCTATTTATCGCATCACAAGTAGGCCTATCTTACCACCTGGCCAGTTCGTTATAACTGACCCCATAAAAGGATGTCTGTGGCTGATGTCCTGACATATCTCTAATTAGCAGCAGTATATGGACACTTGTCTGTGTGGATTTAGGTTAGTATTGGATTACCCCAGTCATGTGTCTAATGCAAAGGAAGTTACTGCTGCAACACTTACATTTTACCTCAAAACTCACTAATGTGACAAAACATGCACAAAAAAAAGTCCTCAAGTTGTGGGATGTTTATAAATAGGTACTTCCGGCCCAAGCGACCCTAATGATTTTCGGACGTTTTTCAAGCGATATCTTTGCAGAAAAAACATACTAATGTGCAGCCATCAGCGAGGAGATTTATGGAGAAACATGCAACTTTTTGACTGTCAACTGTGTGGAAAGCTTTAATCTTTTTCTTAAATAATATTTGTATTTGTCTGCATTGTGTTATATTATGGCTAGTTTAATATCAATATTTATATAATATTAATAATGATTTAAAATTGCATTTTGTATTTTTTAGTTTGATAAAATTTTATTTTTATTGTCTCGAAAATATGAGCACACTAAATATTTGTCAGGCTGTGTGTTAGCTAATATATTAGGCACATAGGATTTGACAAAAAGCTTTTGAACATTTTCACCATTATTGCTCAGGAAAAACAAGTGATGATTAATAAACTATTAAAGTCTTTTCAAAGTTTAGTATGATTTGTAAGTAACCCGCTATCATTGTCATAACAACAGAAACACAAGATCTGCGATTTGATTGGCTGAGAGTCAACGGAGGAGGTGGTAATTGTAGCTGGCAGTAAGCTGTGGCTTTTTTAGTCAGGTAGAAACACTCACTTGCATCGTCACTTCACCTTCTAACTTGCACAGACCAGGTAAGAACAGTGTTTTCTTCTTCTGGTGTTCAAAAATTAGAGGTCAAAATTTACAGTTCATTGTGATGTAAATTAAGGTAGGCTATTAAAAATGCATGAACTATGTTTAATCTGAAAAGAAATAGCCAGACACACACATGTAATGTAATTTTTATTTTATTTGTAAATTTATTTTATTTGCTATTCTTTTACGTAGTTATTTGTTTTATTATTTAGTTTGCAAAAAATAAAAGCATATTCATTTGTATTCATAGAGTAGTCAAAATATGACATCAAATCTCAAGGAGGTCCATAACAGGGATTTTTGAATGAATAAACAGAAAGCAGTCAACATGAGAACCGATAGGAGACGACTGTATGTTTATTTTAGCGTTTTCCCAGATCAGATTGTGTGTCCAGTTTGTTTGTTTAGCCTCCTACAGAGTCCCTTAAAAATGGACTGGACATGATTTCAGACATTGTAGAAACATTGAGGCAGGCATCAGGTCACTGGGCCTTTGTCATTTGGCTTATGCTGGGTAATCCTCTTCATTGGCCTAACCTGACACATTAAGACATTTTCATGGTAGCCTACTTGACAAAATCCTTTGCTATCATGTAAATCAAAATGCTTTGCAAAATTGCATTAAAGACACATTGTTTTTTAAAATATAGGTTTTGAGCTGCCCAGAACATCAACAAATTTGACATTTTTAAAGTTAAATATAATAATATATTTATTAAAATGCTAAAAAAATGTACATGCTTCCATTCTGTTTTATAAACTATGCAAAATAATAAAAAAAATAATAATAATAATAAAAAAGATACAATAATTTTTCTTCGAAAATTGGGAAATTATCTTGTTCTTTTTTACTTCATCTGTCTTGCTCTCCATTACAAGGCCCAGTCCACAGACCTTAAAACAGAATCACTAATCACCCGGATCAGTGGATTAGTTCCTGAGCTTCTCTGTTGGAGAGGCGCAACCGTGCAATAGGCTCAGTGTCCGTCCATGTCAGCTTCTCTAGCTTATAGCATTCTCTCTCTCTCTCTCTCTCTAGTGGGCACCAAGAAAAAAGCTTCCTGCTTGACCTAATCCATGTTCAATATGGAAGTTTTTTTCGTTTTGTTTTGGTTGTGATTTAATAATAAAGATTTTTATAAGTATACTCTTAAGTACATCTTTTAATCTTTTATAGCACTAAATGTCAGATTGTAGCATGCGACAGTATATCTCTAAAAATATACTTGTATTGAATTTTGATGATTTTATAGTCACATGTACAGCACAAAATCCTCTTTGCAAGTGAACCCATATTTAATGTATTCTATTTTACATTTTCAAATGTAAAAATGTACTAGGTTTTTGGCGATGAAGACATGTCACGCAACCTGTCCATGTCGGTGTCTATCTAATTCTGCGGCTTGGTATTGTGACAGATGGAATGCTGACAAAATACAGTAGAGTTCGCCAAACTATTGTATAGAGTCTGATTGGACGAATGGCTTTTGATCTCAACATATATGGGAAGCATTTTACCTCAGTTGCATATTTCATATTTCTTGGAGAGATTTTTTTTTTTTTTTTAGATTTAAATTTTTTTTTTTAAATGTGTATAAAACATTTAAAAGTTTTTCCATAACCCTAGAACAGACTTCCGACTTGAATTTTGTGTATTTATTGACCAAAAACCAAGTCAGTGAAAGTTCATCATACGGTAAGTGGCTTAAAACACACGTCACAGATGCATCTGTTTTGATTGTCTCGCAGAGAAATGTCAGGACCCAGGCCTGTAGTTCTGAGCGGTCCATCAGGAGCTGGGAAAAGCACCCTGTTGAAGAGACTCATGAAGGAATATGAAGGGGTTTTTGGATTCAGTGTCTCTCGTATGTATCAGCATTACAGACAGATTATAGACAAGAATTGTGATTGAATGGTTTTTACAGGATAACTTGACCTCCCTTTTTTCTGCAGACACCACCAGAAATCCTCGGCCAGGAGAGGAAGATGGAAAAGGTAGGGCATGATTTCCACTTCACAACCTTACTAAAGGCTCGCTTTAGCAGTGAAACAAAAATCCCCCCTAAATTCACATTCATTCATTTCGAAAGGTCCTCTACCCAAAACTGTCTTATACTCACACTCCTTTGCTGCTTCTTACTCCCAAGTGAACAGTTTACATTCAACTCCAAACATATCGCCACATTTCACATGGGTTGAAATTCCTCTTTTTATTCCCCAATGTGCCTTTGTTGTTTTCTCTAGGGCTGACTTGTCTCCCAATGCTTCTGGGGGCTACATTACTTCCTGTAGCAGACATCCTATCGTCTGTGACATCTGAAGGTGTAGATTTGTTTTGCATTATTGGTCGTAATTAGTCATCACTGATTATTCACATATTTAATGTGATGAGAGATTAATGGGGGTTACTTTCATCTTTTTCAAATCTAAAACTTTGGAAGTCAATTATATTTTAGGCCAAAATGACAGCTATGATTGTTAACATCACATGAATGCCAGTGTGCACTTTGGAGTAAAAAGCCTTTGAAAATAGCCCCCTGTGTTCCCTAGTGGTTTTCCATGTATTGTGAACAATGACATCACTTCCCCACATACCCAGAGACGAATCATTAGCATCACAACCACAGGACTTTAAAATTCGTTTTTGGGACAGTCGAACAAGTCTGATTGGTGACCTGGGAAAAATATATATACAAAGAAATAATCTACAGCCATTTTAAATCTTGTATGGGTCACTTGGGCAAACTCTGCTCATTTATTTTAATGCAGATAACTTCCCCAGCTATGAGTGAAAATTTTAAGAACTTTTTGGCTAATTTTCTGGCAGGTTTCTCTCAAGTTATGAACCAAAAGTGTTCCAGTAAGGTTAATTGAATATCTGTTCAAAGTTATCTGGTCTTTTATAATGTTAACACAAAAACATTATTTATTCATCGTTCATGGAAAAAAGTGATAATTCTGAAACATTTTTTTTTTTATGTTTCTACTTGTTTCAGAATGTACAAAGATTAAAAAGAAACATTTAGGCCTACGTTTAATTAACTTTTTCATTACTTAATAATATAACATTGCTAAAGCGTTCTTAGTAGGCCCTACTTATTTTTGTTAGCTGGGTCAAAGGCTAGACTAAAAAATAACAGTTGAAATATATACTTAATTAAAATATATATTATTTGAAACTTTAAGGTTAAGATTTTTTTTTCTAAGATTTTTATGCAACTAACCAACCATTGCTGTTTTTATTTTTTTGTCATTCTTATGATGTTTTTCCACAGACAAATGTTGTTATGCTAATGGACATTGCGGTGCTGCCATGGATTATGTCAGTGTTTTGCCCTCCTGTAGCTGTGAATTATTTGTCTTGTGTTGTTGTTGTCTGCAGAATCATTACCGCCCCGCTTTAGATCCTGTCTGATGTGCTGTAGTGGAGTTAAACCACCAGAATGGTACGAATCCAGCAAAATGCAGCACTAGAGCTTTCTCACAGGCTACATGTGAAGGATTTTATGTGTGTGATTTTGTTTTGTGGTTATAAATTAGAAGGGAAACCAACCAATAATTGTATTTTAGAAGTTTTATGGTATCACTTCAGAATTGTGGTCCGTCATTAATAAGTAACTCTGCAGGAAGTAATACAGGAATAATGAGTAGCCTACAAACTGCATTAATACTTCAGCTTCTACTATTAACTAATATGGAAACAACCTTAACTCATCATTAAGTAGGCTAATATTGATAGGAGATAGTTCCATTAGGCATCATTAAGAGCGAAGAGGTAACTATGTAGGTAACTGACAAAATAATAAAGAATTACTAATGAATTACTAATCACAACATTAATGTGTCTGAGACATTAGCAATTGTCTTCTTTTACTCTCAACATGGTCTTTTAAAAGCGGTCCAGATCAGTTGCCTAGTTCCCGCAGAGTCACTATAGGTTCACTTGAGGAATAGTAGAGCATTTTATGACTGATTACATATCAGACACATGATAATGTTCTTAATAATTTGTCAGTTAGTTAGCCTAGTTATTATTGAGGCTATCTCATTAAGTAGGCTAATTGATTACCAAATAAGGAACTAAATTTGATATTAAGCTACTTACTGATGAGTTCTATATTAGTTAATAGTAGAAGCTGAAGTGTTAATGTAGTACTACTCATTAGTCCGGCAATACTTCTTGCATCTATTAATGACAGACCATTATTCAAAAGTGTTACCAGTTTTACTCCCACCATTTTGTAAGATATACAGAACGGACGGAGATTCTGAAATAAACAGTTGTCGCCCCCTGCTGACCATAATAGAATATTGTTATTTAGCTATGAAAAGACTACAGAATTGTAAGTTTAATTTCATCCAAAAATCAAAATTCTGTTATTATTTAGTCACCCGCTGAAAGTTATTTCTTCCAAATATTTATTTTAATAGTTTGCTTGTACTTGATAATTTAGATAGCCTATGTCAAACAAAACTTTCAGGTCATTTGATAAACAACATCATTTGGTTGGTTTTACAATTAATCTTCACTAATTTCTGTCCTCAACCCAGATTACCACTTTGTCACCAGAGAGAACATGCAAGAGGGAATCGACAATGGCGAGTTCATTGAGAATGCAGAGTTTTCTGGGAATATGTATGGTACCAGGTAGACTACATTTTATCTCGGAAATTGTCATCTGACATCTGATCCTTGTGAAACAATTAGATGTAATTGCTCATCAAATGTATTGTCACTTGCAGCAAATCATCCATAGAGGACGTTCAGGCACAAAATCTCATCTGCATCTTGGATGTTGACATACAAGGGGTACAAAACATCAAGAAGACTGATCTAAACCCCATTTATATCTCCATTCAGCCACCTTCAATGGAGATCCTGGTGAGCTGATAAAAGATCTCAGTTTTATACAGCTTTTAAATGGTCATAAAATACTGAGGGTTTAAACTTTTTTTGCACAGGAAAAGCGTCTGAGGGACAGACAAACCGAAACAGAGGAAAGTCTACAGAAGCGTCTGGAGGCCGCGAGGATTGACATGGAGCTCAGTAAGTGACGCACTCAGTAAATCAGCTGTGCTTGAGAGAAGACATTTATTCCCTTGTCATTTTCTCCTTTGCAGGTAAGGAACCTGGAGTTTTCGATATTGTAATCATTAATGATGACCTGGAAGCAGCCTATGAAAAGCTCAAAAGTGTTCTTGTTGAGGTAAAACTATTTCATCTGTCTAAAAAGATTTTGTTGACAATGATATGCATCATTTTTAATATTTAATAAATAAATAAACAATGAGTTGTTGTTGTTTTTTCCAACAGGAAATTCAGAAGGTGCAAGATGCCAAGAAATAGGAAAGGATAGACGGGACTTTTTACCCTTTTGTCCGTCAACACAGGACATGAAGCCTTTTTTTCCCAGCCTTGTACAGTGTATATAGCCTAGTACAAGTGTTGGTTCTCATGTTAGACTCTAAAAAGTCGATTGACCTGAAGGGACCTAAACATCTCAGTCTCAGTTGAGGACTCATCTCTGTAAACTGTGTGAGAATGTTTGCACCTTGTATACTGGAGAGAGAAAACTGTGTGGTAACCCAAAATGCGTTGAGTAAGCGTATTAATGACAATAGTTTGTTTATCATCAGCATGTTCTATAATAGAAAAATGATTGTTTTTCAATAGCCTAGTTTGTGATTGTAGAGAGCAAAACTACAGCATGTTTGACTCTCAGGTAAGGTTTAAATGTAGCCTATTCTGTTGAATGTTTAGATTTGAGTTGCACCTCCATGTTTATAAATTTGTGTTGACTATAAAATGTAATTTTTGGTTTAGCTAAAATAAAATATTAGAAAATAAAACTAAAAGTACTTTTAAACATTTCTCCATTATCTTTTTGTTTTCTTATGCTCGTTTCCCCTCTGTTTAATCTCAAAGAGAACGATTTCACAATACTTCGTGTAAAAGAGAAATAAAAACTAAAGTAAATAATCTCTTCATTGATTCTGTTATAAAAAACATGAATCACATTTTCACACCTCTGCCCTCGAATGTTCCCAAACGGACACCGTAAAGTTAAACTTCAGCAACCATGGAAACCGCAAACATCTGCGGAAGTGAAGGTGAGTCTGGTTCTATCCATAGACAGTGTGAGGTTTTATCATAGTTAATGATAATTTTGAATATTATGATAGTTTCAAATTCAGGTTGATTGGGACACTTTTTCCAAGTCATCTCAATAGCAAAAAGTGTCCCAATCACCCTATTGGCTATTCGTTTCATGGGGTTCTAAATACGCTCGCTGTTACCAAACAAAACATAAAACTATTAAGATTCGTAACTTCTACTAAAGTAACGAATTTAATTTTCTTTTTCTGAGTGTGCGTTACAGCAAATGTGAAACGACCGCAATCCAACGGAAGCTGTTTTATTCTATGGTTTTATTACCGTAAACAAAACATTTTACTAGCCTACTATTAGGCGTCTTTCTATAATGGTGTAATTCTTCGAGCTTATCTTAATATAAATTTTAGGCATAAATAATAGGCTTTATTGTGTTTTGGGAGGAGACTTGGGTTATAGTTTTCACAAACGGCCCTATCCCATAATACTTATTTTTGGGGTAACGTTAGCCTACGTTGTCGCTTTTTTTGTGTTGTGATTTTATTCATCTAAATCTATTAAATATAGGCTATCTAAAATTTATGTTCCAAATCTATTAATTATAATTTCTAAAAGCACAGTACAAATATGTTTGTTTGTTTGTTTGTTTGTTTGTTAGTTACATTAGCTCATGTTTTTCATCGTTCTCCACAGTCTGTGAAATGCTTGAATCATGTCTAGCAGTAAAGAGCAGACATCCATCAGTCAGGTGATGTGTTTCCTCCATGAGTGGGACCAGGGCAATAAGACGGTGCGTAGTCGAATGCTGAGCGACTTTCTGGCCAAGAACACAGGAAAGACATGCCCTGAACTGGAGTTTGAGTTTGCTGAAGTTGCCAGCCTGTTCCTTACTCGGCTCACTGCCTGGATAAGACTAACGTAAGCATATGGTCATGCTTAACCCATCTGTGCTCCAGAATCTCAGACTAAAACTTTCAGTCATGCCATGTATGCATCCTTAATTTTTATGTTTCCAGCTACATGTTTGGATCGTGTCTAGACCTTCAGCTGAGAGCATTAGGTGTTTTCCTCTCTGCCAATAGCAGGTAAAAGACTTAATATAATGTAAGTACTAGAAGTAATACGCAAAGTCAAAAAAAATCTAAAATCCTACAATACACTGTATATCACATTACTGTACCTTACACAATAAAAAGCTCAGCTTTAGCAGTGAAACTTCAAAACAAGAGAAAATAATGCAGAATGTAATGCAAAAGGACAGCTATTCAGTAAATAAAAGCAAATGCACAAGCACCAGAAAACAGAAACACTTTCTATCCTAACATGGTATCCTTTTGTTTGTTTGCACAATCAGTCATCAGTACATGATTGAGTTTCTGGAGGTGGGTGGAGTGCTGACCCTGCTTGAGATTCTCGGGCAAGACAAACTCAAAGAAGAGGATAAGACCGAGGCCCTTCACCTGCTCCAGATCATCGCCAACTCGGGCCAAAAATATAAAGAGCTTATCTGTGAAAGCTACGGTACTCACTCTGCACAAATGCTCAACAAACTAATAATCAAAAAGCAAAGCAGTTCTAGCTCATTTTTCATTCCTGACATTTTAAGGAATGAGAGTTTGCAGCATTTCCATAAAATATTGTGAGGTTGAAACCTTGCATGGTCCAATCTGGATATGTTTTGAAGTTTGGGGATTTTGACAGGCAAGTTCTGACACACACACTCTCGCATCTGTTCTTCTCTAATTGACAGGTGTGAAGGCTGTAGCTGAATGTTTGGCCAAGTCTGAGATGGAGATGACTCAGGGGACCGCCGCCGCCCTGCTAGAGTCTTTGGCCCATGGAAACCCCAAATACCAGAATCAGGTGTACAAGGGCCTGGTCGCCCTCCTGGCCTGCACATTACCAAGAGCACAGCAGCTTGTTTTACAGATTCTACGTATAGTTCAGGTACAACAGTGTCAAGCTACAAGCTACATCTTTTATTTTATTATGCAAAAAAAAAAAAAAAAATGCATAGAAAAAAAAAAAGCTCAGGAAAAATCATACATTGTACATTGTACACAGTCAGGTACATTGACTACAACACAATAAGTTATTAATATTGTGTTGGTTCTCTCTTGTTTTTGTATGTTCATAATTGACGATTTTGGCAAAAAGATGCTAGCACAATTTGGCATGTTTCATTGCTTTATCACTAATAAATCAATTGACTCCAAACACTAAGCAATATGCTTAAAAAAAATTTAACACTTTTTAAAATAATATTGGAATAAACGGTTAAGATGTCAATTTTCCTATGCCGTACATCACTTTTCGCCACTACTGTTTACCTTTTTTAGTAAACATCAATATTTAAATTAACATTAATATGTTAAAAGTATACATTGTATAACTGATCACTCACTTTAATCATCCTGTTGTGTGATAAATACATTTTTAAAAGTACAAATATTTGAAATAGTCTTACTAATAGTAGATGAGTTCATGAAAACAGCATTTATGATAAATAGTTATATACTGTAAGAACTAGAAAAATAAAATGCTTTTAAAATAGTTTTAGATCATATGGGATGTCATGCATGAAATGTCAGCATATAATTTTTGTTATGTTTTTGTGCAGCCCGTTATAAAAACAGCCCATCATAGCATAGTGGAACCCTTACTGAATCTGCTGAGGTCCCAGCATTTAGAAGTACAATATGAAGGCAAGTGTACATTTCAAATTTGGTATTGTTGTCTACCCTTCTGTGATGCTCACTGTTTCATTTTCACTTTTATTCACCTTCCAGCCATAGAACTCATAGCAGAGCTCATGCAATTAGAGGTTAGACCAGCTCTGCTCAGGGGTCTGGTGGCTTTTCTCAAACCAGCTAAAGAGAGAAACCCCAAACACAAGATTCTGGATGGTATGATCTGTTGCTCATTTTCTCTTAAATAAAGCTTAAATAAATACATTTGTTGTTTGCAACTGAAACAGTGGTTCTCCGATAACAATACTGCTTTGAATTATGACCAGCACCATGGAGACATCATGAATTGAACCTCTCAATTGTTACCTTTTGGGCTTTGTACATGTATTTGGAGCAGATGGAGACGAGATGAGAAACAAACATGGATGTGTCTTGAATTATCATCTTTCACAGTTGTTGATTTGTCTGTCATGAGAGTCATAAATCTGAGAGTTCAGTGTTGTATTTGAGATTCAGCTGAATCAGTTTGAGTGTTTTGTTAGATACAGAGGTGTCCAAAATGACGGATTCGCTCCCTGTGCTCCTCATGCAAGCAGCTTCTGCAAAAACCATCAGGTAAAATCAGTGACTTCAAACAATGCATACATTCAATACAAATATTATATAAGACATGCTAATCTGTGTGTTTATTATAGTATATTGACACAATGTTACAGGATTCTGGCACAGAGAAATGAGGAGATTTCTAAAGAACTCCTCTCTCTCAGAGTGATCCATCATTTACTGTATGCAATGGGTAACCAGGAACATGCAGATGCCCAGAGACAAGCCAGCCTGGCTTTGGAGGTACAATTGAAACATCCACCCTCACTCACTCACTCACTCACTCACTCACTCACTCACTCACTCACTCACTCACTCACTCACTCACTCACTCACTATGTTCATTCTGCATCAGGCATAAGTAAATGTAGTATTGGGGAAAAAATATATATTAATGTGTAATGTCTGTTTAGCATTTTGTGCGCATGTATCCAGTGGTGGAAGAGCATGTACGCAGAGGAATGGGCAGCACACTGTTCGAGTCTTTTATGGTGAGGTCATTTCCTGTTTTACTGATTCACATGCACACACACATACACACATTGGGTTTTCTTTTTTAATGGGGACATTCCATTGACATAAGTAAGGGATAATCCATAGCTAGTTTATCCACAGCGAGTTTAATGTGGGTTTAATTCCTTTTAAAACAGTGCTGTTACCTCCCCGTTGCTGAGAAATACAATGTAGCGAATCTGTAGCGAAGCTTTTTATTAATAAAAGACGGGGATAGGCTTGAAGTTTCTGTGCTCCTGAATGTTTCTCCATTTGTGTGAGTGACGTGTGCATGAACATCAATAAAAGCAGTGCATTAATATAGAATGGGGATTATACTGGCTTGGAACTATCTGTGCATTAAATGGTTTTATTTCACACCTTACAGTCAATCAGAATCAAATATTCAGACAGACCACGGTATAATGATTTTTATACTGTACAAACTGTACATTATATCCCCTCCCCCTTGTCACCTTAAACTTTCTGCATTTTTACATTCTCAAAAACATAATTTCCAGTTTTCCTCATGGAGTAATTTAAATATAAATATGCCGTTTTCACTTAAAGACCCGTCAGTATGTGTGTTTTTCTTCATATTGTTTACAGCACAATGCTGATGAGCTGCATTTAAGCATGGATGATATTCAAGCTGACAGTTTACGATCAAATAAAGTAAACATTTCATGTGGTGAGTAGATAAATCTCAAAGATTGAGAGAGAAAAAGCCAGGTTGTATGCTTTTTTTATTATTTGAATTGATGCTTAATTTTGACCATTGAAAATGATTGTGTATCACATTGTCTTTTAATTTTTTCCTCTTTTCTGCAGTGCTTGAGGAACAGATTTCAGATTCTTGAACACTGCTTAAAACAAGCTAATAAGAACAAAAGTATTTGTGGTGTTTTGTTGTTGATGATGGTGTTTTTATACATAAAATAGTAAAAGTGGTCACAAAGATAGTGAACAGTCTTCTGTATTTCTTTGGTTCACTTCAATATGGGTTCATTAAAAAACGTTTTAAATTATATATCAAAAAATATTTTAATGGCTATGTGATATAAGCACAATAAAGTATTAAAATTAAGAAGATTCTATATGCATGTTAAAAGTCAGGGTTGAAATGCAACACTCATTTTTATACAGAATGTAACAGGGGGTGCCTGCTATGTCTTTGGGTTCTTCCTATGTCTGAAAAGGTTGATGAATCATTATTTATTTTTTTATTATCATTATTACTTTTTTTTTTTTTTTACAGTCTGTCTGTGGCAAGCCTGTGGTCAGAACACTTACAGGCTTTTGACCATGCAAACATTTTTTAAATATGCAGTGATGAGGCGTTCCAGTGTCCGCTATGGTTCAAACACGCCCCGCCTTTCAGGAAGTGAAACAAAATACACTCACTTTGGTTAATCTATTAGGAGATATATCTAAAAGTATTAAAAACCAAGTTATGCGATTTCTCAAAAACACGGGGTTGTTTTGCCGTATTTAATATTTGAATGTACATCCCTCTGACTATTCTCGATGATCACACTCCAGTCCGGTAGGTGGCGGTAAATGCACCTTAAGTTGGTTTGCCATCCGCCAGCTAAACTCTAAAAGAAGAAGAAGAAGAAGTGAAACAAGGCGGGAATGGTATTACTGCATGTTGTGAAAGATTGCGTCCTTTACTGTATCTTGTAACCCTTTGCTTACTCTCAGCAGTTCGTTATGATGTGTGATTTTTTTTTTTTTTATTAACACACTGATTTCTTTCCCCGACTGATGTACGAATGTCAGTTTGTGCTTGATCTCAATCTGAAGCAGTGAAAGATTGGTTCAGCGCTATGAGCAGGTTAAGATCAGCAGTGCAGAAGGGGAAGACAGCGGCTCTAGAAAATCCAGAGGTGCTCGAATCCAGCATTAAGAAGAAATCAAAGCATGCCGTTAAAGAAGGTGAGTGGTTCTCTCTGTGCTACTGAAAGACTGGAAAGCAATTCCATGTTTGCCTCTAAAATGTTATATTGTTTGAGTGTTTCTTGATTTCTTATTCCCATCAGAGGAACCATCTGAAACTGAACCTTCATCATACCACTTTTTCCATGATCCGTCTGAAATCTCTCTTTTCCGCTCTCACCTTCTGCTGTGGTATGATCAAAATAAGAGAGAGCTTCCCTGGAGAACAATGGTAAAGGCATCTAATATTGTTAACACATTGTACGTTATTTTTGACCATATACCTGTATATTAAAAGGGCCCATCATGTACAGCTACCTTTTTATTTAACTGCAGAAAAAAAATTCTAGTCCTAAAAATAAATAAATTACATTTCTGTGAATTGTCTATAAAACCATGTATTGTTTAGTTAAAATTGAATTATTAACAAAATGTTGGCTGCATTAGTTGTCAGCGGCTTAACTAATGCTTCAAAATGAAGGAAATACCATTACAAACACTATTACATAATGTTCAGAATTGTTAATTGCATTGAAACATTCTAAACTTTTCTTGACCTGTTTATAAAAAGGAGCAGGAATACATTGAAATTTGATTAGGATTGTTTTTCCTTATTGTTGTTCTTATGCTGTAATCCATACAGGCTTTGACAGAACCAGATGTTAATATCAGGACATATGCAGGTATGAAACAAAGGGTTTTAATGTCGTGAGGATCATAACCTAAATCCTTTTTTATTGTTAAATCATTAATTATTTTTTTTCTCATGCCGTTCTCAGTGTGGGTCTCAGAGATCATGTTACAACAGACTCAAGTTGCCACAGTGATAGGCTACTATAACAGATGGATGAAGGTAGACAAGCACCTTAGGTGTGATTTCTCCTCACAGCTGCCACAAAATGATGCTGTTTCTACGTCTTTATTTTTTAGAGATGGGCGACTGTGGAAAAACTTGCTGCAGCTACACTGGAGGTGATGGTTAAACCTAAAGACGTACACAATATAAACAGAAGAGGACATAGTGAGCATCTGACAGTTTGCGTTGTTGTCTCCCTGCAGGAAGTGAACCAAATGTGGGCTGGCCTTGGATACTACTCTCGAGGACGCAGGCTGCATGAAGGCGCTCAGAAAGTAGGTTTAAACGTAGTAATGCAGAATCTAGATAAGATTTAGATTTTTGCCTTTTTTATATTTATGTAATCTGCACATATAAAAGACATTTTATGCATGATTCTTTAAAATAGGTGGTGTCAGAACTGAATGGACAGATGCCAAAAACCACAGCGGGACTACTGAAACAGTTGCCTGGGGTCGGACGTTACACCGCCGGGGCGATCGGTTCTATAGCACTTGGACAGGTAACTGTTTTTTATTGATGCATCTGATTTGGACTACTTTCAAATGTGGTTCTTTATTTATTTACTTTTGTGATCAACTGAAATCAATTGGTGCAGCACTGTATTGCCAGGGTATTAAACACTGTGAATATTTAGCTGTAAAAGATGTTTGTCCCAATGGTGTTTGTTGTTCTCCAGGTGACGGGTGCGGTTGATGGAAATGTCATTCGAGTTCTGTGTCGCGTTCGAGCCATAGGAGCAGACAGCAGCAGTCCCACTGTAACAGATGCTTTATGGTACTGAAAGATTCATCAAGTAGATTTACTATTTATAAAATTTAGGTCTAAGTTGTAAAATGTTGGATTTAATTGTGATGATTATTGGCCTATTTCAGGAAAATTGCTGATACACTTGTTGACCGAGAGAGACCTGGAGATTTTAATCAGGCTATGATGGAGTTAGGGGCCAGAGTCTGCACCCCAAAATCCCCTCTCTGCAACCAGTGTCCCATTCAGTCCCACTGTCATGCATTTAGGAAGGTACTGCTGAACAACATTCTTCCCCATTCTCAGTTTAAACTTCAGCAGATCTTTTTGACCATGCCTACATACGTTGAGTTGCTGCCATGTGAATGGCTGATTAGATATTGTGTTAATGAGCAGTTGTTGAACAGGTGTACTTAATAAAGTGGCCGGTTAGTGTACTTCCTTGTAAAAATGTCAAATAACCTATTATATATATATATATATATATATATATATATATATAGATAGATATCATTTTCTGTCTTTTATATTGTAGGTGAGTATTAAACAAGAGATTGACTCCAAAAGACTTCTAAGTAAACTTGCCTCAAATCTCAATAACTCTGTTCCTGACATAGAGAATTGTTGTAAGTCTTAAGAAAAATCTCATTATTCATACATCAGCTCATCCAATTAAAAATCCTGTCTAATGTCTGTTCATATTCACTGACAGTGGCCAGTGACAGCTGTAACTTGTGTCTATCAGAGGACTGGGACCCTCAGCTGGGGGTGCAGAATTATCCAAGAAAGCCTGTTAAAAAGGCTCCACGTGCGGAGCAAACACTAACCTGTATAGTGGAGCGTAAGCGTGATGGAGAAGAGATGGAATATCTGCTCACTCAAAGACCAAGCAAAGGTGAAACGGCAGTTTTGACTGGATGAATTAGTCATTTCTTCCAGAAAATATAATAAAATTGCACAATTTTGGATTTACCGGCATGTGTTTGCCTTCTGCAGGACTCTTGGCAGGGATGTGGGAGCTACCCAGCATGCTCTTGGAAGCTGATGTCTCTGAGAGTAAATATAAAGGCTTGATATGTGACATGATGCAAAAACTGCTGGAAACATCCCTAGACACTCACTCAGTGCAGTTTGTGGGAGAGGTGGGTTTTTCCCCAAATCATGTGTTCTTGGGTTTAGAATAGTTTCAAACTGATCAAAATTTAATTAACAAACACATGATTTACATCTTTGGTCATGTTGTTCACTTCTTGTTACAATGCACGCATTTGATATTCATCAATGTCTTCTGTGTTCTCTGTCAGGTGGTTCATATTTTCTCCCACATCCATCAAACCTACATAGTCTTTTCCGTTCGTGTGTCCGACTGGTCAGATAGAAAGCGAGAGCAGAAGACCTGCTGGCTCAGTAAATCTGCTCTGCATGAGGCGGCTGTATCCACTGGGGTTAAAAAGGTTTGTGTGTTGTGTCACGGATGTCACAGCAAAGCCAAACTACCCAGTGTTGTTGTAGTAAACTAAAACTTAAATAGCTTTATCTATTTGCAATAAATACGAGATGAAATAAAATATAAATATATTAGTGCTGTCAAACGATTAATTGTGATTATTCACATCTAACATAAAAGTTTGTAAGTATATAATATGTACACAAATATTGATAAATATGAATATTTATATTATTTTATATAAATCCTGCCTTGGCAACTAACTGCAATGAAATAAGGTACTAAAATTATATATATATTTTTTTTTAAAACGGGGATACAAATATTTAAAGCAAAATAGAAATGTAAAAATGACAAAAGTACAGAACAAAATTGCTGAAACTTTTAAATGAAATTGACACTAAAAATGACACTAACCTGCAGGAGGCTTATTCAATTTTCAAAAATTCTGTTTTAGTTTTACCTAAGATCTGATAGACTAAAATAAGGCTAGATGAAGGACAATGAAAGACTCTGTAATGTGTTTGTTGGCAATAGTTATCAAACGATGGTTTAGTGTTACCAATATCAAATGTGTATTGATATAAAGTATGTTTTTATTATTGTAATTTTATCTTGTATTTTTAATTACAGATTATGAAGCTCTATGAATCTTCAAGCAAGGTGGACATCAAGGTATGTTTTCCTGAGTTTGCATGTGCTTAATATTTTGCACTGCTTGGTATTGAATAAAAAAAAAAAAAATGTTATTGTCCTGACATTTCACACTCTTTAAGGAAAAGAAGAGAAAACCCAGCCCTGAGAAACGGTCAAACAAAATAAAAAAGCCAAAGAGTGCTGCTACTAATGGAGGACCCAAACAACTCAGCCTCACTAAATTCTTGTCTACCTCGAAGGCAACAGCTTAAAGCCAAACCTGTTGACAGAAGCTACTCTGTGGTTATCATGTAAATTTGCTACTGTGTCAAGAGAGTCACATATAATAACACATATTACCTACATCTGTATTATTTTTAAAGCAATATTTCATTGTTATGAGGCATGTTTTTAAATAAATAATAATTGTATAATTAGACAGCTGTTTTTTTTTTTAAATATGCCCTCATTTTTCATGATATATTTATGCACAATATTTCTCGCTACTTTGTTAATTTAGCTGCATGCTTAATTAAACAGCCTTTAGCCGAACGGGTCAATTAGCCTTTCGCCGAGCCCCGCCCCCCTTAGTTACTGCTGCTACCTCCGTCAAACAAATGGTCAAACACGGGCAGCGCGACAGATTGCCATGACGGCAAAGGGTATTCCCGTGCGTGTCAGTGACCTTTTTTGGAGCAATACCTCCGCGATATCAAGCAAGATCGAAGCAAAAGGGGTTACGGTATGCGGTGGAGGGATTTATTCCAAATATAAAATTAAGAAATGAATGAGACACGACTACTATTGATGCTAATGCTTAAATAACACGACCATGATCCTTTCATTTTCTACGCCCTGAATGCTCTTCCCTTGCCTGTCTAACACGGGCTTGTCATAATAAGAGTTAAGACATACATTTTTGAATGAACGTGCGATTATTTATAATCTTACACGTATGTGGAAAAAGGCTTTACGTTTTCGCCACGTTTAACGTTTTATCCTTTGGTCTGTTTGAAAAGAAAATCTAAATTTGTATGTTTTACTTGGCAACGGTGGGGCTTTTAACTGAAATATGAGCTGTTAAAACTGGGTGAAGTCCAAAGTTTTCCTCAGTTCTGTCAGAGAATGTCTGGTTCTGTGCACTTCTGATAACGCACCATTTTACTCATATAATTTTGTGGAAGGTCAAAGTTGCCATCTGACCGTGCACTTGATCTGAACTCTTCCACACAGTGTGATACGGACGTATCCTCGACCTCAGGTAAGTTCACCGGCAGATTTACACTGATTGCAGACTTTTCAAAAAATGGGTTAATCCATATACTGTAAAAACAATAACTGTAGAAAATAAAAACGCACCATGCACTTTAAATTTAATTTAAAAAAAATTAATGTTTTGGACAAGCATAGAACGTTTTTAAAAGTTACGCAAACCGTTGTATTCAAACAGTCTTGTTCGTAGTCATACAAATCTGCATTTTCATTAAATCAGATCTTATTCACGCTTAAACCCAATATATTATGCTAATTCGGTTTATTACAGAATGGATGTTTATGAAATGTACATGTTTTATCTGCATAGCCAAAAGTAGTAGTGGTAATAATAAAAAACAACTCTTGGTTTTTCGTGTTTTCTCCTCTTCTACTAGCATCCAGGCTAGTCAAATGCTAGTCTTGCGAATTTAATTTTAATAACAGAGCAATCCTATTAGTGTCCCCTATGGAAACAACGTGGCAGAGAGTGGAATCCATGCACCGCTGGATTCTAGAGAATGGAGGTATGATTTATGTCATATATTATAAGTGTGATTTATAATAATTTAATTTTTATTTATGTGCTATATTGCATTATAACAATGCCTAAAACATTACATCATAAGATATAAAATAATAACTTTTAGAATACACAGATGCAATGCAAGCTCCTTGTTTGTTCCGTCATTTTATTTCAGATAAGCGGACGGACCCATGGCTTCTAGTCTACTCTCCTGTACCGATCATCTGTATATTTTTGTGCTATCTTGGTGTTATTTGGATCGGACCCAAACTTATGAAACACAAGGAACCAGTGAACCTAAAAGCAGTGCTTATTGTGTACAATTTTGCCATGGTCGCTTTGTCTGTTTACATGTTTCATGAGGTACATTCTACATTACTCTAGTTCAATTCAACATAGGTGCATTTTTTTAAAGGTTATTTCAAATTTTTCTGTTAAAATAACTTTAAAAGATCCATCTGCTCATGACCTGCTGTTAACATTTTTCTTTTCGTTCCACAGTTCTTGGTCACATCTTGGCAGGCAAACTACAGTTATCTGTGTCAACCTGTGGACTATAGCCACAGTCCATTGGGAATGAGGGTGATTGTGTCTGTTCATCTGTTTGACATGTTGTCTAACCAATAATTCCTGTATTGCAAATCATAATTAAATATGTTTACAGTGTTATCATGTTTTATATTCCTATAAAGATGCATTTGTTTTCTAAACATTACTTTTTATACTTTTAGATGGCCAGTGTATGCTGGTGGTTCTTCTTCTCTAAAGTCATTGAGCTTAGTGATACAGTGAGTTTGACTAATTAAACAGATATGATTAGCGCAGATATTTTCACCCAGGGTGGACATGCAGTTCTAAAAAACATGTCAATTTCCACATTTAGGTCTTTTTCATCCTAAGAAAAAAGAATAGCCAACTCACATTTCTACACGTATATCATCATGCAACTATGATCTTTAACTGGTGGGCAGGAGTGAAATTTGTGGCGGGAGGTCAATGTAAGTCAAAAATATGTGGCTGAACATACTAGTGAACTGATAAACTGTTTATTTATAGTTAGTTACTATGGTAGAAACAAATCTTTATTCAAAATCAATATTAGTTAATATGCAGCCTCTCGGATTTTTATATTTTAGACCCATTAGATGTAACAATTTTGCTATGCATGTAACTTTTTTAAACAGAATTTCTTAACTGTATGCATTTTTGCCTATTCTTTCAGCATTTTTTATCGGGCTGCTGAACACTTTTGTTCATATTGTGATGTATTCGTACTATGGCTTGGCCGCCCTGGGGCCTCACATGCAGAAATATCTGTGGTGGAAGCGCTACCTCACCTCACTGCAGCTGGTAAATGCACATAAACACACACATTGCTAATCTGGTCATTTAAAAAGACATTTTTAGACAATCAGCCTTTTGTTAAACCCTTGTTTGTTTGTTTTTTTCAAAAATACATAGCTTCAATAGACATGTCCTGTTTAGAAGATGGCCAGTTGATACTTTTTTCCCATAAGGATCCATAAGAGTAAACATTCATAACATCTGTTGAACTAGCTCTCATTACATCCTCTCATTACAGATCCAGTTTGTCTTGCTGACTCTTCACACTGGATACAACCTCTTCACTGAGTGTGACTTCCCTGATTCCATGAATGCAGTTGTGTTTGCGTACTGCGTCAGCCTCATTATACTTTTCAGCAACTTTTACTACCAGAGCTACATAACAAGGAAGAGCAAGAAGTCTAAATAGTTGGTCCACATGCAGAGGAGAAGAAATCCCTCACTTGATAGACTATTTTTTAATTGCTCTTGAAATTGAAATCAGGCCTCGGCCACATAGTCATCAGGACTAAAAGGATTTGTTGAAACAACTGACCTCATATCTAATTTTGGTGGTAAATATAACTTGTCTAGATAATGTTTTATTATCAGTATTTTTATTTTATTTTTTTCATTTTGGAACGGTGAAATCTCCTTTATTGTCAACAACCAAAATAGAACTTGAATGTAAATAAAGTGTAATCTCATTTTAAGTAAATCTAGGATGAAACATTATTAATTGTGCTGAACAGCTTTGTCTGTCTCTTTTAACAAGTACACTAGATGGCACTACAGTATGTACGTAAGCTGTTTGACTGCAGCTGTTCTCGCGGTATGTCTTTGGATATGTCTTTGATTATCTTTGGCCACTTTTTGGGCTAATAACAATTCAATAATTGATGATATTTACAACGGAACTGAGTCATCAAACATTTAACTGACTTCAGCTGTACAATAGCCGAAATTCATACTTTTCCTGTTATCACTGTAAAGCTGCTTTGAAACAATTTGTTCTACTGTATGCGCTATATAGCCTAGCCTAATTACAAGTGAATTTACTTTTATATTTTACCAATGATAAAACTGATTGATGTTAAAGGGATAGTTCACTTTGAAATGAATTTTTGATATGTTTTAGCTTACCACAATGGCATCCAAGATGTAGGTGTCTTTGTTTCCACAGTATTTTCAATTTTCCGTTCTTGTCTGTCAGACCTCAAAGAGCATGCACAAAGAAAAGTCCCGTGGCTGTGGTTACATGAGGTAAAAACAATATACTGTTAATTTTCTCACACAAACCGCTTGTTTTGTGTCTTAGGCCATCAATGTGTACTTACATTTACGAGTCATTAAATCATCTTTAATTTGGACTTCTCTCTTCTCTTTGAGGAGGACCCCTATACCTGCATTATATGACTGGCAGACAAGAACGGTTTGACCGAAAAATATCAAAATTGAAAATACTGTGGAAACAAAGACACCTACATCTTGGATGCCCTTGAGGTAATCTAAAACATATCAAAAAATTAATTTCAAAGTGAACTATCTCTTTAAGTTTGTGGGCCACTGTGCCTTTGAGGTGTGTTTGCGTGCTACGATTTAGTGGTTTTCCTTTTGCTTGTGACTGTAAAATATGTATTTTAGGTAGGTGGAGAAAAACATATTTTGAGTTTTTATATTTGGGATTGTAGTTGGGCTACTCTTGGCAGACCTCACTACATGCCGTGTGCGCAGAAAGTGTCAAAAAGTGTTTGAAACTGACATTGCAATATTTTTTACTTTCTTTATGAATTCATCTGGTTGCCAATAGTAAATTCAGATTTTAGGTCTTAGAACTACAAACTGACTATCTCTAATTGAATTACTTTATTATTGACTTTTTAAAACATGGAGACAATTTAAATTATGTTCTAATGAAAGAGTGACTGAGCGGTCAAAGAGGCCAATGTTTTTATGTTATAAACTGACAAATTGGTGCATTTTAGTAGCTTCCAAATAAATGTCTTGCTAACTAATTTTTTTTTATTTGTTGTCAGGTCATTGAGTGTGTGTGTCAGTGCATTTAAAAGTAGTAAAACTATGAGATGCCTTTAGACTGAGATCATGGAAGTGCTGCCTGGAAATTTTCTCATAAATTGTGCGTCAAGTCTCTGATGTAACGCATTACTGGTAAACAAAACAATTTGCTTGGGCAGGGAAAACTGTTGAATTGACCCGTCTGTCTCTTGGGTTGCATAGACATTTTTCAGGTTTTAGACATGGCATTCATCATGCCATGTGAATTATTTATTATCTGTGGCCAAATGTAAACATGACATTGGTAAAATCCTACTCTGGGGGTTCTCTGGCTTTTTTCTCCTTTTTTGTCACTTAATTGTCACTCTCTAACTCACAGATTGTACTCGCAAAACCAGGATTATTGACGTTGTGTACAATGCCTCCAACAATGAGCTGGTGAGAACCAAGACCCTGGTGAAGAACTGCATTGTTCTGGTGGACAGCACATCGTACACAGGCAGTGTATAAAGCTCACTATGCCATTCCTTTGGGCTGCCAGAAAGTTACAAAACTGGTAGGCTTTCATTTCATATTGCTCACTATAAATACATGAGAATTTCTATTATTAGAGATTCAGCCTCAGATTGTTCATGGACCCTCTGCAATGCATATTGCACACAAAAAGGACAAGAGCTTTTCCAAAACCACCAGCTCCAATATTTACACAGATGATTTGCAAACTTTTCAAAGAGCTAATTGCTTTGGTGATTATTGATGCCTTCTGATATAGACACTTATGTCTTTTACACAGTGAAGAACACACATACTAGTTGACAGTCACCTCTATAGTCCTTTTTGTGTTCAAGCTTAATATGGGTTACTATGGCATCTTAAGTAAGAATACATATTGTTTTCAAATTTAGCACTAATATTGAAGTCAGATATTCGATATATAGTCAGTGGATTCTAACCCGGATCTCTCACACCAAAGGCATGTGTTTTATCCATTGCGCCATCACCACCCCATATTGGGAAATTGGTCCACCAATCCCCACCATGAACGACATCAGAATCTTTCCCAGATAAACCTTCTTGAAGCTTTTAACTGCATACAAGGATGGTCAGTTCCTGCAGGTAAAGCTTATCTGTGAGGTTTCCAAACTTTTCCCATCATGGATCCTTTGAGACAATCGGTCATCTCCATTTAGTAAAAAGGAAAAAAACAAAGAAAATAAAAAAACAGATCATTGGCAAACAGTTGTTTTTTCAACAGCACTCATCCGGACCAGTTCATTCAATCCAAAGCATATAACCATAGTCCAAAGCAAATAACCATAACAGTGGATTTAGTCACAGGATGTTCTCGTTTTTATGCTCATTTGACACATATCCCATTAGAACCAGAGACGAGACAAAAACTTACATTTTATGTTTCCCTCATGTTTATTTGATATCTGTTTATTTTTCATGTACAAAACCAGGCAGAATGGTCTCAGTCAAAGACAAATCTGTTTAATTTGTAAGTCACAGTGCTTCTGTCTTAAGTTTGCTTTTTAATGTTCTGTTTCCTCGGCCGGTATTGTGTCCAGGCCTGGCCAGTGTGGCAGAGCAGGCGGAATCATGTTGGAAGGGAAAGAGCTGGAGTTTTACCTCTGGAAGATCAACGGCAAACAGACAAGCAATACAACCAGAACTCTACAGTATAACCGTTTAAGGGTGAAAATGAATATCATTGTGCAAAAATTATTCAGGTCACCAGTGTGAATGATTAATTCCTAATGGGCTAACAAAATTGGCTGGGTAATTTTGTCCTGAAATATTGCATTTTGCACAACATTTCTTACACTTTCGTGCACCTACGGTCACTTTTGCACATTCATGTTACTATTTACTGTTACTAATAATTTAATCTTATTTTGTTTATTTATTTCCAATATTTATTTCAATAGTAGACCTGATGTTTGTGTCTTAAACGGTTAGTTCACCCAAAACTGAAAATGCGGTCATTAATTTGACTAGGCTACTCTACCTGACTATATAATTGTCACAGTCTTTGTCTGCACCATTCTGTCTTTGTCATCTTCACTACACTTCCCAGCATCCTCTTGTCTCCACACCTGAACTCACTCCCTTAATCATCTTCCTGTTCATCGTCCTGATCATCTGTGTCACCTGTCATCACCTTGTTAGTGTTCATTTTGTATCTGTATTTAGTTCTCTCTGGTTCAGTCTGTGCTTGTCCGTTCTTGATTATGTTTCATGGATAGTGTGTGTAATCTTCTGCCAGTCTTCCTTGTACCTGTTTGGAGTTTTTGAGTAAATGTTTTGTATTGGAGCTTTGCGTCAGGCTCAGCCTGTCTTCATTCCACACTACACCGTGACAGAAGAACCGACCAAACATGGATTCCCCTGCAGTAAGACTAATGTGCCTTGAGCAGGGAAACAGCTCTCTTGAGGAACACCTGGAGGTTTTCCTGGATTTGGTTCTTCAAACCAGTTTCCCAGATGACTGCCTCTGCACGTTTCTACGTGTGGGACTGAACAACACCACTCTAGTGCAGTTGTCTGGGGAACCAGGGTCTGAAGGGTCTTCACAGACGTGGCCGCCTGAAGGGTCTTCACCATCGTGGCAACGCCCTCAGCCTGCTCCGCCCTGGTCAGGCCCTCAGCCTGCTCCGCCACGCCCACATCCTGCTCGGCCCTGGTCACGCCCTCAGCTTGCTCTGCCACGCCCTCGTCCTGCTCCTCTCTGGTCACGCCCTCAGCCTGCTCTTTGCACCATTCTGTCTTTGTCATCTTCACTACACTTCCCAGCAACCTCTTGTCCCCAGAGAGAACTGATGGTGCGTTCTATTATAGCCAACGAAACGACTCGGACCTCGGATTTGGCGTCCACACTTCAAGTGTTCTATTTGTTTTGCGCGTCCGAGTCAGAGAAAAAAAATGGACGCCACCCGGAAAGCTGTTATAATGGTAGCACTGGCCGAGTACCAGGCACTTACATTAAAAAAAAAAAAATATTATGACTACACCTTATTAAAACGCAGCCATTTGAACTTGAAAATGTTCACTTTATTAATGTTTTTCATGTTAATCTTCTGTTAGCAACGCTAGCAACGTCAGTAATTGCACTCACAACAACCGATTCCCATACCTACAGGGGACGCAGTATTACGAGTGATTATAACCGTCATTTAAAATACCAAAGCGGTTCAAAAACAATGAAAACAATTCATTCTTACAAGTCACAGGACGCAGCCATCTTGAATTCCGAAACGGAATTCTTGCTCGGTGTCCTCACGGTTGTCCGACGTCCGAGAGGAGAAATCCGAGGAAAGGGGGCGTGTTGCTAGGCAACGTCTGTCGTCCGATTCGGATCTCTGAGACGGATGAATAATAGAACGCACCATAAATACCGATGCAAAATGAACACTAACAAGGTGATGACAGGTGACACAGATGATCAGGACGATGAACAGGTGGATGATTGAGGGAGTGAGTTCAGGTGTGGAGATAAAGATGATGAAGACAGAATGGTGCAGACAAGTGGTGCAGATAATTCTAAGCGAAAAGTGGGTTTTTTAGAATTAGAAGGTTCTATCTGCATTTGACCCATTCCAAAAATCCCCATTTACAAATATGAGAGGATTTTGATATTGTATGTTTAGAATACATTTAGGGTCCCTGTTATTTTCATATTTGAATGAAACTTGTTCCCCATTTAAATTGTCCTATATGTAATGCAAAAACTTTGAAGCTCAATTATCTCAAAACTGCTCAGAACAGAGATAGAACCTTATAATTCCAAGGGGACGTTGTGTGTAATCTTATGCCAGTCTTCCTTGTACCTGTTTGGAGTTTTTGAGTAAATGTTTTCTATTGGAGCTTTGCATCAGCCTATCTGACCCTGTCTGAGCTGAGATATTGAGATCCCACATAGCATTTATGCCAAATATCTCAATATCTCAGTTCAAGAAGGACCTAGAGACTCCATTTTTGCACTCAGGTCTAAGTCTCATGGTCGTCTATCAGAATCCAGAGTTTCAAGAAGATTGGAGAAACTCGTTTTTTCGCACCAAAAAAAAAACAAAACGAAAGGGGTAACACTGTCGGGTTTTTTTTGGGTCGAAATTTTGAGTTTCTCTGATCTTCTTGAAACTCTGGATTCTGATAGAGGGCCATGAGACTTAGACCTGAGTGCAAAAAATTGAGGCTCTAGACCCTTCTAGAGCTGAGATATCGAAATTCAAAATTTTGACCCGAAAAAAAACGACAGTGTTACCCCTTTCGTTTTTTTTCATTTTTGGGCGAAAAATTAAGTTTATCCAATCTTCTCAAAACTCTGGATTCTGATAGAGGGCCACGAGACTTTGACCTGAGTGCAAAAATTGAGGCTCTAGACCCTTCCAGAGCTGAGATATCGAAATTCAAAATTTTGACCCGAAAAAAAAACCGACAGTGTTACCCCTTTCGTATTTTTTCATTTTCGGCGAAAAATTAAGTTTTTCCAATCATCTCAAAACTCTGGATTATGATCGAGGGCTGTGAGACTTTGACCTGAGTGCAAAAATGGAGGCTCTAGACCCTTCCAGAGCTGAGATATCGAAATTCAAAATTTTGACCCGAAAAAAAAAACGACAGTGTTACCCCTTTCGTTTTTTTTCATTTTCGGGCAAAAAATTAAGTTTCTCCAATCTTCTCAAAACTCTGGATTCTGATAGAGGGCCGCGAGACTTTGACCTGAGTGCAAAAATGGAGGCTCTAGACCCTTCCAGAGCTGATATATCGAAATTCAAAATTTTGACCCGAAAAAAAAAACGACAGTGTTACCCCTTTCGTTTTTTTTCATTTTCGGGCGAAAAATTACGTTTCTCCAATCTTCTCAAAACTCTGGATTCTGATAGAGGGCCGCGAGACTTTGACCTGAGTGCAAAAATTGAGGCTCTAGACCCTTCCAGAGCTGAGATATCGAAATTCAAAATTTTGACCCGAAAAAAAAAACGACAGTGTTACCCCTTTCGTTTTTTTTCATTTTCGGGCGAAAAATTAAGTTTCTCTAATCTTCTCAAAACTCTGGATTATGATCTAGGGCTGTGAGACTTTGACCTGAGCGCAAAAATGGAGGCTCTAGACCCTTCCAGAGCTGAGATATCGAAATTCAAAATTTTGACCCGAAAAAAAAAACGACAGTGTTACCCCTTTCGTTTTTTTTTCATTTTTGGCGAAAAAATTAGTTTTTCCAATCATCTCAAAACTCTGGATTATGATCGAGGGCTGTGAGACTTTGACCTGAGCGCAAAAATGGAGGCTCTAGACCCTTCCAGAGCTGAGATATCGAAATTCAAAATTTCGACCCGAAAAAAAAAACGACAGTGTTACCCCTTTCGTTTTTTTTCATTTTCGGGCGAAAAATCAAGTTTCTCCAATCTTCTCAAAACTCTGGATTATGATAGAGGGCCGCGAGACTTTGACCTGAGTGCAAAAATGGAGGCTCTAGACCCTTCCAGAGCTGAGATATCGAAACTCAAAATTTCGACCCGAAAAAAAAACGACAGTGTTACCCCTTTCGTTTTTTTCAGTTTTCGGGCGAAAAATCAAGTTTCTCCAATCTTCTCAAAACTCTGGATTATGATAGAGGGCCGCGAGACTTTGACCTGAGCGCAAAAATGGAGGCTCTAGACCCTTCCAGAGCTGAGATATCGAAACTCAAAATTTCGACCCGAAAAAAAAAACGACAGTGTTACCCCTTACGTTTTTTTCAGTTTTCGGGCGAAAAATCAAGTTTCTCCAATCTTCTCAAAACTCTGGATTATGATAGAGGGCCGCGAGACTTTGACCTGAGCGCAAAAATGGAGGCTCTAGACCCTTCCAGAGCTGAGATATCGAAACTCAAAATTTCGACCCGAAAAAAAAAACGACAGTGTTACCCCTTACGTTTTTTTTCAGTTTTCGGGCGAAAAATCAAGTTTCTCCAATCTTCTCAAAACTCTGGATTATGATAGAGGGCCGCGAGACTTTGACCTGAGCGCAAAAATGGAGGCTCTAGACCCTTCCAGAGCTGAGATATCGAAACTCAAAATTTCGACCCGAAAAAAAAACGACAGTGTTACCCCTTACGTTTTTTTCAGTTTTCGGGCGAAAAATCAAGTTTCTCCAATCTTCTCAAAACTCTGGATTATGATAGAGGGCCGCGAGACTTTGACCTGAGCGCAAAAATGGAGGCTCTAGACCCTTCCAGAGCTGAGATATCGAAACTCAAAATTTCGACCCGAAAAAAAAACGACAGTGTTACCCCTTACGTTTTTTTCAGTTTTCGGGCGAAAAATCAAGTTTCTCCAATCTTCTCAAAACTCTGGATTATGATAGAGGGCCGCGAGACTTTGACCTGAGCGCAAAAATGGAGGCTCTAGACCCTTCCAGAGCTGAGATATCGAAACTCAAAATTTCGACCCGAAAAAAAAACGACAGTGTTACCCCTTACGTTTTTTTCAGTTTTCGGGCGAAAAATCAAGTTTCTCCAATCTTCTCAAAACTCTGGATTATGATAGAGGGCCGCGAGACTTTGACCTGAGCGCAAAAATGGAGGCTCTAGACCCTTCCAGAGCTGAGATATCGAAACTCAAAATTTCGACCCGAAAAAAAAACGACAGTGTTACCCCTTACGTTTTTTTCAGTTTTCGGGCGAAAAATCAAGTTTCTCCAATCTTCTCAAAACTCTGGATTATGATAGAGGGCCGCGAGACTTTGACCTGAGCGCAAAAATGGAGGCTCTAGACCCTTCCAGAGCTGAGATATCGAAACTCAAAATTTCGACCCGAAAAAAAAACGACAGTGTTACCCCTTACGTTTTTTTTCAGTTTTCGGGCGAAAAATCAAGTTTCTCCAATCTTCTCAAAACTCTGGATTATGATAGAGGGCCGCGAGACTTTGACCTGAGCGCAAAAATGGAGGCTCTAGACCCTTCCAGAGCTGAGATATCGAAACTCAAAATTTCGACCCGAAAAAAAAACGACAGTGTTACCCCTTACGTTTTTTTCAGTTTTCGGGCGAAAAATCAAGTTTCTCCAATCTTCTCAAAACTCTGGATTATGATAGAGGGCCGCGAGACTTTGACCTGAGCGCAAAAATGGAGGCTCTAGACCCTTCCAGAGCTGAGATATCGAAACTCAAAATTTCGACCCGAAAAAAAAACGACAGTGTTACCCCTTACGTTTTTTTCAGTTTTCGGGCGAAAAATCAAGTTTCTCCAATCTTCTCAAAACTCTGGATTATGATAGAGGGCCGCGAGACTTTGACCTGAGCGCAAAAATGGAGGCTCTAGACCCTTCCAGAGCTGAGATA